GGGTCCTCGTGGTTGAAAGGGTTTGAATATTTCGTCCATCTACGGTAGTAAGGCACCTGTTACTACTAGTAAGAGGCTTGTTCCTAATAGCTTCTTGTTACTACTAGTAAGGCACCTGTTACTACTAGTAAGGCACTTGTTCCTAATAGCTTCTTGTTACTACTAGTAAGGCACCTGTTACTACTAGTAAGGCACTTGTTCCTAATAGCTTCTTGTTACTACTAGTGAGGCACTTGTTACTACTAGTAAGGCACTTTTGTTCAGTGTAGATATGTATAGATGGCATACGTTTCTTTTTTCTCACTGGTAGTATAGATATGGCCTGGAGGTTGCCATGAAAAGGCAACATGCTGGTGTCATGGCAAACCACTTGACATGATTCTCATCTATGATCTGGATCTGGCACTTCCCACGCGCATACAGCATACAACATAGACATCATACACATGTCTAAAAGCATTTCCAAGCTGGCATTCAGCCAGGCAGGCTTGGCCAGGCTTAGCCACGGAGCCTCTCCAATCTCTGACCAGCAAGTACTTGTAACCAGCTGGCGATCTCGGTCGCCCTGGTTCGGCTTTCCTGGCACCAGCGATACGGCCACCTCTAATACCCACCAACGGCGTTACTAACAAGAATGTTCAAGCCCTTCATCAGGTCAGGTTTTAGCCCATCCTAGCCAAAAATAGCAACATGCCTATACACATCTATCAGCGATATCAAGCATTTCTGCGTTGGCCCGGGCCCAGCCTCATGCATCTTGATGAGGGTTTCCAGGGTGCGTCGGAGAATGGTATGCTCAGAGCGCAAGGTTTCCAGATCAGCCTGCAACCTTGCTTCTGCTAGCTTTCCTCGAGGCATCGAAGAACGAACCACATTGCGCTTTGGTCGCTTTTTTTGGGCCGGCCAGTGCCTTTTTGAGATCTATAAGGTCCTAGCTTGATCGTAACAGTCCAAGCATCTGCGAGCTTCGAGCTTCTCAAGTGATTCCTTGTAGCCATCGTTCCGCCGCTGTTGGTCAAACATGTCTGCCTTGTAATCTTTCTCCGCCTTCCTGAACGCATCTCGTCTTCTCACGAATGTACCCTCGTCCTGGGTCCCTCGGGCCCCTTGAGGCATTCAATGTCATCAGTTCCAAGTTTCTTTACGCATTTGGCATGTCTGTACCCTATGTCACTGCTCCATCCCATTACTTCTGAGCAGCTTCATGTTGGCATGCGCCGTGGTGAACTCATTGATGTCAGCCAGCACTTGCCTTGGCGAAAGAACCGCTGTGCGAACACTGGACATCTGATTGTATAAATGGATGCTGCCAAACACTTTCCAGCTGGTATCAATCTCATATAATCTCATAGTATCTCATATCTCATTAAAGTAATAGGGAGTTCCTGTCGTGCGTTTTCCGGTCGGCTTTGACAGGCAGTGACCGGAGTAACCGCTCCATCTGTGGAGTCATGTGCCAAGCGACTGCAAGGTCATCTTGACACGCTGTATGAAAGCGCCTGCGTCCCTTGCTGTCCGCTGGATCGAATGCCTCAGAGCCATCGGACAGCAATTCAAGCGAGCTGTTCGGGTTACGGTAAGCTGAACTGACCAAGTTGCCGCAAATCATCCAATTTCCTGTTGATGCTCGACCTGGCAACCTGAAGCGGATATGGACTCTCCTCATTGCCATACCTTCAAAATTGTGCTGTTTCATGCTGTTGCCCTGTGTCTGCAGCATGGACTTTCGCTGGCCTCGGATTGCTGCAGAACGTTGTCCTCGAGCAGGGGCATTCTGACAGCGAACATGAATCGGCTCAGCAGCGAAAACACCCAGCGCCGACACGTGCGACGCGCGAAACACGTCACGGTGCGACGTGTCGCAGCGTGTCGAGTCTCCGTCTCACGATCCATACGCTGCAGCTCCATGGGTTCAGCGCGACGAGTCAGTTCCTGAGACACCAGTGATCGGCTCGAGCCCTGCCGTGGGCATCGTTTGTTTGATTGATTTATGGAGCCCTTTCATGCCGGTCTGACAGCATCTTAACATTTGTTCATTGATGTCTCATAAATGAACATCCAGGATGTCTATCACCTATGGAATTTTTTGGAATCCAATCTAACTCGTTTGGTCGAATGAGCTGTCATCTCCCTGCTGGAGTCTGCCCAGGATCATTCTGAATTGCCACACTCAGCTCTTGCTGCACAATTTCATGGCACTCAAAGGTGCGTGTGTCGATCAATTGTTCGATTGGATAGGCCAGCCTGCAGAATGACGCACTGTACACCTGCTAGTTCAATGAAGCCTTGTTTATTTCATTTTCGGGGTGTCATACCTCGTCCCGGTGCAAAGTATCAGCCCTTGACCACAGAATTTCGCATGATTTGACTCCGAGTAGAAGCTAGGAATGCCAGGATTTTCAGGCCTTGCGATATCACTGAGGCCTGCTGTCAGTCTGCCATAGCGCTTTTGATCCCAAGTACGGTGGTACTGAGCTAACCTTGGCCAATACCAAGGCGAAACAGTTCAAGCAGCTGTTCCGTAGCACTGTGTTGCCCCACGTGCTCTGCAGCTTCAGGACAGCGTTTTCACTTTCACCAAAGAACCTTAGCAGCTTAGCAGTTTGCCCTCCGAAGTTTGTTGCAAGGATTGTGGATATTGTAGCAGCTAGCAGCGCTATCAGTGACTTTCAAATGTGCCATTGCACAACTTGGCCACAAATATCACGGCGATTGATGTGAGTGCTTAAATCGTATGTCGAGTCACATGTATTGTCGAATCTTGCTGGAAATGTCGCGTACATTGCGAAGGGCACGATCAACATCATTGCCTTCCATCCTTGGGATTGAGCAAAGTTTGGGACTAGCTAAGTCTGGTCTCGACACTCTCTCAAATATGTTGTTGCCTCTGCTTTCTATCGTTTCGATTGATCTGCTCGCAGGGCACACACCGGTTGAACAAACACAACAGGTGCGATTTGTGTAAAGTCACCTCCTTTGACGTGAGGCAAACACAAACACACATGACACATATGTGTATATATATATATATCGCATATATATATATACATATATTGTGAATGCACACTTGTTTTTAGGACCAGCACCGTTCGCAGGATCCTCACCAGCTCTGTCAGGTTTGCTCTCACCGCAAGGCCGATTTAGGCACGAGGACCGGGTCCTAGCGGTGGGAGGGTGGGCACACAGCCATCCGGCCTTGGTTCGACGTCAGGGTACGCACCAGAGCACGAGGACGTGCTGCAGCTTGGATTTGGTGGAAAAACAGGAAGAGCTTTGGATGGGAAGCGGCTTGTTGTTGAGCTTGTTGAGAGAGACCCGATACCAGTGTGATTGCTACCCCAATCACATTGGTAGCGGAGCTCTCGATCGTTGACAGCTGAGCTTGAGGGGAAACTTGCTATAGTTGCTGTGTGATCGAGAGCATCCAGGAGGACACCTTTGGTTGAGCCCAGTTGATCTTGCATTCGCTGGTCGGCTTGGTCGGTTGCGTTGACTTGCGTGTTGTACATTGAGCATTGTACATTGCCTACATTGTGGTGAGCTTGAATTCCGGTCGGGGCACTGGACAAGACTTGCAGGGTCGTGTGGGTAAGTTGCTGCATTGCTACATTGGTACATTGACCAAGTGCTGCGTACATTGGTTGTCCACAATTTTGCTTGTCGTTCATTGTGCATTGTACAGGTGTGAAACACCATGGCGGGAGCCGAAGGAAGCTCCACCTCAGTGGGGAATCAACCCCACTCGTTGGTTCCAAGCTTCACTCCAGGAGTTGATGACTTGCAGACCTATCAACAAAAGGTCGAATTACTTGCCTCCATATGGCCAAAGGCCAAGATATCTGAGTTGACAGCAAGGCTGATCCTGAACTCAAAAGGCAGTGCGTTTGCAAAGCTCCAACTTCACCAAAAGGAGCTGCCGCAGGACGACGATTTGAAGGCGATCAAACGCGTGATCGAGTTGCTGGGAGGCCATTGGGGCCGAGTTGGACTGGAAGAGCGTTATCAGGAAGCTGAGGACGCGCTCTTCAACTGTGCGCAGCGCAGCGACGAGTCAAATGACTCGTACCTGACATCCTGTGCAGCAAGCTTCTTGCCAAGAAGCCCAGCCTGGATGACCTGCAGGCTTATGTTTTGCTGCGCGGCTCCACGCTTTCGCCCACCTTTTTCCAGGACCTTGCCACACAGAAGAAGACCGCCCGCAAGGTATACGATGCCACTGCCATGATAGCAGCTGACAATCCAGGGGACGATGAGGAAACCATCGACGAAGCCTTCGTTGGCGATGACCAAACTGAGGACGATTACATCCAGTCCCTCGCCTCCGAAGGCCATGACGAAGCTGCACTCATCCTTGACTTCGAGGCCGCTGCTGAAGAGGTCATCCAATCGGATGGTGAACTGGCTTTGGCATACAATTCGTATGTCGAGGCAAGGCGAAAGCTGGGTGAGAAATTCCGCAACAGGTTTCTGGCCTGTGTCCAACAAAGGGGGCACAAAAGGAAAGGGAAAATCTTTTCGAGGTCGACCTCAAGGCCAATGGAATGCTGGAAAAGGTGCATCGAGCCGGAAATCACTGCAGGAGAGAATCATGACATCCAACTGCAGAGCATGTGGGCGGAAGGGTCATTGGAAGGCGGAGTGTCCGTACCGCACCAATGCCCCATCGTCCCATTCTGGTTCTTAACGGCCAGCGCCACACCACCAACATCGATGACCGAGGCCTTCACAGCAACCGCTGACTCAGGCCTCCCTCTGGAGTTCTTGGAACTGCCCGAGCACCTTATGAATGCACCCACCATCGATGAAGAGGACTGCTCGAATCATGAGTGTTTTCACAGCACAGCCACGACCATGTTTGGGGTTGATTTTGGGATACCCTCTCGATTCTCAAGAAACGCAGTTTGAATCACATGAGGGGTTTTGATAGGATGCCACCAACCAACCATGCCACAGCGACTGCCAGGATTTCTAGTGATAGTGAGCCACAGGAGTCCCGCATTTCCACAAGCCAGAGCGATACTTCGTAGGAAATTTGAAGCACCGACACTGCTCCAGACACAGCCAAAGACGCATCATGAAGTGAGTTCAAGCCATGTCCAAGACATTTTGCTTCCCACTCCACGTTTGGCATTTTGGATCTTGGAGCAACGAAGACAGTCATTGGAGCCGATCACATCGCATCCCTGCTGGAGGGACTTGAGCCAGACGAGCCAGACATTCGGAAGAAGGTTACTCGATGTTCCCATCAAGTGATGTTTCGATTTGGCGACCAAGGCGCACTACAGAGCAACCATGCAGGCTCTAGTCATCCCGATCGGCCCATTGAAACTGCTCGTATCGGTCGTCTCACGGGGAACGCCGTTCCTATTGTCGAACACATGCGGGTCCTCCAAGCAAGAATGTTCCAATCAAACTTTGACTACCGTTAGGATCCACAGTTGTACAAGGGACAACTGTGTCAACAAACGACAACTTCCACACCCTGGCGGTGTCGTTTGTATATAACACTCTGGGCATAGCCGTTCTACATAGACTGCACAGACCTGCAGCCAACAGCTCAGAGACTCTATGCACTCTATGCTGCTATCGTATGCAAGGCTCAAGAACAAACATGCGCACACGGCGGCGTTTTTGGGTAGGGTTTTGGGTTAGGGTTGGGCGCTGGCGTTTGTGGAAAACGCCGCCGTTTTTTTGCGCTATTTTTTAAAAAAAGCTCTAACACAAATGGAAAGGACATCAGGGACAAGAGTACCACTTCTACCACATCCTTGATCTCGGAACCAACTACCATGTGGCATTCTCTAGTCCAAAGAAGTTCAAGCCAATTCATAGAAACACTGGGTTCAATGGGCAGGAGCACCAGACCTAATCACATTTGACTCAGCTACTGAGTTCAATAGTGAAGAAAGCATGAAGTTCTTTGAACGTTTTGGCATTCGCGCGATCACAACTGCTCCCAATGCCTCGTGGCAGAATGGTCGATCCGAACGACATGGATCCTTCCTGCAACAGATGCTCACCCGAATGGACCTCCAAGAATCCATCACCACTCGCTCTGAGCTTGAACGCTGTTTGGGACAATGCACATCGTCAAAAAACGCACTGCATAGAGGGTATTCTCCTGAAATGTTGGTATTTGGGAAACCCCCAAGAGTTCCAGGATCGGTGTTAAGTGATCATAGTATACCATCCCACACATGGCAAGAGGGAAGTGACATCCAAACTCACCAGTTTCGGGACATGCTCCGTTGCTGGGAACAAGCCAGGGTAGCATTTCATCAAGCCGATAACGATGCAGCCCTTCGAAGAGCCTTGCTGAGAAGACCCTGTCCTCATAGGGGAAACTACCCCCAAGGTTCCTCGGTCATGATTTGGAGAACGATACAAGGGCAAGGTGCACGGACGGGTCCTCAAAGGGTTGTCATTCATGCAGATCAACATACGATCTGGTCCACAGTAGCGGGAAAACTGTTCCGAAGTGCTCCCGAGAATGTTCGACCTGTCTCAAATGAAGAGGCCGCTCTTGTTCCAGCAGAGACGGAAGACATCGAAACAGAAATGTCTCGTCTATTCGCATGGCACCTGCAGCAGAAGTGCCAGCTGACACTGTGCCTGAACAAATAGAAACGCCGACAAACGAGGTTCCAGACATGCATGAGACCCCAATCGAACCGCAAGATTCGTCATCGAGTCCCATGACACAGCCCGATCATGAGCCGACAGTCCCATCCGAAATGCCTATAGCCGACAGGAAACACCTGCTGAGGGCCCAGAACATGTAGTACATCCTCCCGAAGTGGAAGGTTCCCTAACTGCCCCCAGTACTATAGATGATAATATGACTTTGCCAACCAGCTCACTGCCTCCATTGATGATCCCGATATGTGCTGGCGAGTCGAATTCGACATGAACCAACAATTCCAATCCGGAGCCATGGACACAGGGTCAAACTGGCTGCTGCTGGCTACAACGGGTAAGAAGCAGCGAGCAGAAGTACGATTGTCCTCGCTCCATCCAGATGAGAGGTGCCAATTTGAAGCTGCCCAGGAGGGCGAGATAAGCAATTGGTTGAAGACCGGAACGGTCTCGCGGATCCTTCGTGACCAGATCCCTGCTGACCAAGTCTTAAGGTGTAGGTGGATTTTGACGCGTAAACCCCTAGATCCTACTGACGCAAAAGCACAGGGTAGAGAGTGCAAGCCTAAGGCTCGCCTCGTAACCCTCGGATACTTGGACCCGCAATTGACCGAAGTCCCACGGGACAGTCCCACGCTGAACAAGACGTCTCGAATGTTGCTACTCCAAACAGTGGCAAGCAATGGGTGGGATTTGATCAGCTTTGACATCAAAGCTGCATTCCTTCAGGGAAGCCCCAATCTAATCGCACTCTAGCCATTGAGCCTCCAGAAGAATTCAAGAAATACATGAAGCTCCAAGACCCAGAAGTACTTAAACTCGAAAAGGGGGCATATGGGTTGATAGACGCCCCTTACCAATGGTTCTGTGCTTTACTCCAAGTGTTAACCGAATTGAACTTCACCCAAAGATACCCAAAATCCCTTCGACCCATGCCTGTTCGTTGTAAAGGATCCCAATACTGGGTGTCCCGAAGGAATATTAGGTATACGCGTTGATGATGGCATAGGTGGAGGAAGCCCCCGATTCCTGGAGACAATTGCCAAACTGGAGAAACGATTTCCTTTTGGTTCTCGGCGTAGCCGTTCGTTCACCTTTACGGGGATAGACTTACAACAACGGGCAGACCAAGGGATCGTACTGTCACAGGAAAGCTATGTCTCGAAGATTCCAGCAATACAAGTCTCGCCAGTGCCATCAACACCAGACCCGGTCTTTCGTCCAAGTTGAGCTTCCTACAGTCATCTATCAATAAGGCAACAGTGGATACGTTGTGTGAAGCCAACAAGGTCCTTCATGAGGCAAAAAGGCATAAGAAAGTAAGTGTGGTAATCCAACCGATCCCAATAGAGCAATTCAGGTTTCTAGCATTCTCAGATGCATCCTTCTCACCGCGCAATAAGCCAGATTCACATGCTGGGTCCATCATCTTGGGAACACATCAGAACATTGATCAAAACCTCAGCTGCCCAATCAGTCCCATCTCATGGCGATGCAGAAAGATACAAAAGGTTGTCACCAGCACACTGGCAGCAAAGACGATGTCCCTGTCATCCGTTCTTGATCAAGTTTCTTGGCTAAGGCTATTTTGGGACTGGCCATCTGACAACTGGAAACGGGCAGAAGAAACCTTGAATTGACCTGACCACGCGTACGGCCACCCCTATAGCTGCACAGAATTCCGCACCCAACTCCAAGCACGTGCAATAAAGGATTTGTTGTCCGAAGGCATTCGTCTTCGATGGGTTGCCAGTGGCGCCCAACTGGCTGACGCCTTGACCAAACAGATGAAGGCCTCCTTTTTAAGAGAAACGCTCCAGCATGGCCACTATCAGTTGTCTGATGAGCAATCGATCTTAAACGCCAGAGCTTCAGCCAGAGATAGGATCAAGTGGCTCAAAAGAAAAGTAGATCCACAGAGCGAAGGTGCCGAACCAGTGTTATTCACAATTTTCTCAGAGATAGAGAAAATTTTGGGAGTGTGAATGCACACTTGTTTTTAGGACCAGCACCGTTCGCAGGATCCTCACCAGCTCTGTCAGGTTTGCTCTCACCGCAAGGCCGATTTAGGCACGAGGACCGGGTCCTAGCGGTGGGAGGGTGGGCACACAGCCATCCGGCCTTGGTTCGACGTCAGGGTACGCACCAGAGCACGAGGACATGCTGCAGCTTGGATTTGGTGGAAAAACAGGAAGAGCTTTGGACTGCGCTGCTTGGGAAGCGGCTTGTTGTTGAGCTTGTTGAGAGAGACCCGATACCAGTGTGATTGCTACCCCAATCACAATATATATATATATATATGCATATTTATACAGTACACAAACTGCACGTTTCCATTAATTAGTTCATGCTTCAACCTAGTGAACATCTTGCCATGGTCATCTAGGTCCAAGCCACATGAAGTCGAAGGCTCTGTGCCATTTATTCTTGGCTTCAGTGCTCTTGCTCTGCAGCTCCTAATGCAATCAAATCCCAGCAGCGGCAGCAGCTCAAATTGACCAAAGTAAAGTCCTAAATCCACCACATCTTTCGAGTTGCCAACCACAAGCTAAACCGTGCTACAAGAGTTTTCACAATGCAAACCGCAGATTTCTCACCCTGGGGAGTCCTTAAACTTTGTGTGCTGCTCTTCTCGCTGCGCCAGAAGCTCCGGGAGGCCTGAAATTCGAGATGGAACAAAGCCCACCTGAGGGAATAGAGGACCAAAGGGCCAAACGTTTGACCCGACGTTTGATACAGACTCAACGCTCTGAAGTCTGAGCGACGGGAAGCAGGAATATAGTATTTCCTCCAAATCATGTCTGCCTGGGTGAACTTGGCACACAAAGCATCGTTCAAAGCAGCGTAGCTCAAGACACCTGGAACCTTGTTTTTGAACATTCAGCCATGCTTGCAGGGTTTTGAACTGATTTTGATAGGTGGTGTTTCTCTTTTCATCACTTGTTCCAGCATGTTTCACGTGAGAAGAGACAACGCCGTCCTGCACCTGCGTGGCTTTTAAGCGGCGCTTGGTGAGCCGAGGAGTTGGCAGTTCAGCTCCTGTCGGCATCGTGGCAGGTGTCGTCTGAAGATCCGGCTGTGAGATCAAATGCTTCACTTTGATTCACATCAAAGTTCATCAAAGTCCTCAGTTTCACTCACTTCGACATCACCCTCCACCCTTTCGATCTCCATCTGTCCTGCCTTTTCCATCTCCTTGAGCTCGGTAGCGGCTGCTGGTGCTCGGCTCGGATGCAAGATCGGCAGCATCCTGAAACCCCAAAGATCGGGGCACGGGATGGCACGGGCGGGGGGGAGTAGAGGACGTACTAGGAGCAAAGGGCATCGCTACGAACGGAGCACGGACGCTACGATCGGGGCTCCTGGCATCGCTACTAGGAACAAGGATGCTACTAGGAACAAGTGCATCGCTACT